TCTAAAATTGGAAAAAAAGACTTCTTATAATTTTATTTTAATTGTAATAATCCGTTGTCCAGAATCTTATTTGCAAATTAAATAAAAAATTGGTTTAAGTATAGTTTCAAAATCTATAAGTTTATTTTAATAGTAATAGTCCTTTTTAACGCACCTTATTCTCAAGTTAAAATAAAATACATGGGTTGAAAATAATTACAATGTCAGTAGGCATTGGTTTAAGATAAATCATTTCCTTTAAATAACAACACATTTGATTTTTCTTATAAATATCTAAAAGTGAATTTCTTTATAAACATGAGATTAGTAATAAGCGACAATTTTAGAAAAATAACCAAAAAATTAAGAAAAAAGTGACAATTTAAAAATTAATTATATTTTCTGAATTAAACTATGCAATATTTTATTATACTTCATTTTATTTTAAGTTGTTACAATGGATATGTAGCATCAAGAAACAATGAATTCAAAACATTGTTTAAACTAAACCAGTTTAATAAAATATTGTCTTCATAAAAAGTGAGAAGCAAATTATTTTGAAAATAATAGATATCGAATAGGAATTTATTGTTATATTTTTCTATTATTAAAAATATTATATATATACTTATAATTATGTAACTAATTTGTTTTTATGCAAAAAAGTATAATTTAGATTATATACATATTTCTTTTTCTTGAATATGTTATTACTATAAATATGAATTTATAGTGAAAAGATTATAAAGAATAATGAGAATCTAACATATATATATATATATATATATGTATATTGAAATTCGTTTATTAGAAATGAAGTCAGAATAACTTCTTAATGATTGTGATTTCAGCTCTATTACAACATACACCAATACAATTTATTATTTATTATAGTTTTGATCGCTATAAAACATTGATTAATAAAATCTATTCATATATAGTTATTTAGACAATAATGATTCAAAAATATGGTCTTCACAACATACATGTTTGTGGTTACAAGAATTAATGTAGTATTGAAATAAATAATGTATTAATAGTTTCATTACATATGGATTACATGATAAAAATGTTGATCTAATGCTTTTCCTTAGTCAAACAAATAAGATCATTTCCAATTCACCTATAGATTTATTAATATATTTTTTTTTTTTTGAAAAATTGCATTATAAAGGTAAATTGCTTAACTGTATGATCAGTTTGGTATTTTTATAGAAATATAGAGTAATTATTTTGTCTCTAAATGTAGAGATATAATTTTATTCACTACAATTTTCTTTTAAGATAGAGAAATTCTATAAAGTGTATATAATTTTATTGCCTTGATTCAACTTTTTAATTTATTGTATATTACTCTAATTCATATTTCCAGGGTTGGACTCAATTTTAACTTTTGGGTTTGGATTTTTTCTCTACCCTTAAATTCAAAATTGCTAATAACTGTTTATACACTATGATTATTGAAACATAATCAACAAAAAAAATTATTGAAACATAAATACTAACCAAAATTATGTGGAAAAATAACTTTTATTCCTAAAATAAGTTTCACGCAATACATGCAAAAATCCAACAATTATATTTTTCTTCTTCTCATTTTATGTTTTTTTATGAAATTAAAACATCAATTGAAATCCGTGAAACGCAAGGATTCATACCTAGTAAATAATAATAGATAAATAAACTAAAGGTGTAATTGGTAATGGTTATAGATGCTCTCCAAAGCACCGTATATTTCTAAAACACTAAATTCACATCAATCAAGTTTTAATAATTTTATAAAAATTACAGCTTTTGAAATAACTTACATCTGCATAAGTGATTTCTAAAGCCAAATATTTAAAGTAGTTTTTTTGAGATTTCAATAAAATCTACAGCAATAAAATTTAAAACTACAGCAAAAAGTCTAGAATTTTTTTTTTACGGTATAGTTTTTAAAGTAACAAACATTACCAATCGGAATAAGCAAAATAGATTTTCAACCGAACATAACTGCGAATACGAGACTATATTTAAATGAGTCGAAAGAACCTTCACAAAAAAATCAGACATCTGAAGACCGTTACACAAGGTAACAAAGCGATGAAAGAACTAAAGCAAACGCTCAACAACAAAACCGAGAGAACATCTATTTTTACCATTAAATACATTGCAAAGGAGAGATATGAAAGTATACAATGAGAAGAGAACCTGATAACCCACCGGTAATGTAACAACCCGTTCCCTCGGCGTCCGACCGGGGTTCAGCAAACGGGTGCTACGGACACGTGGTTACTCAATTAGACAACCCTACGTGTCCTTACTTTCCCCAGGAGTCGGCGGACACATCTTTTAATGAAATCCGATCCACCCTTATCCACATACTTCTACTTAAAGTCCTACGCATAGGAAAAATGGAAATGGAGGGATGAGCAATTGGGATTATTCAGTGAAGTGACTTTAGACCAGTATGTCCGCATGATACTCTACGCTACCTCATACGAAAACCAAGACCGACTAGCCACTACAATCAATATGCATCAAACAAGCCATACAACAACATCTCAACATAGAATTCTAGCACCCTAACGTTCATACACTGCAAGGACTCAGCCATTGCTTCACATAGACTCAATCACACAATCATCCCTTTTACCTAGACTCGCTAATCAACCTAGACCTCTAGGACCTATGGCCGTTTACGGATGTCCCTACACGTTCCGGCCTAACCTGAAAGGGGTGCCCACTCTGGAGAAACCATTTCCCCCCTCCAGCTTCCTAGTAACCACCCGTGGGGAGCTCGTTGGCCCACGTGCAGCACCTGCTGGCCCACATGCAACACTGTCTATCTGCAGCTCCCGTCCGTACACGGTCAGATGGTCACAATTTGCCACGACTCGGCATTGACTCGATCTTAAGGCGCCTATTCCTAACTTTACCCCGCCTTGGCGGTCGCTGTCCGTACACGGCCTTTCAATTTCCGCCCACGGGAAAGTCCTCCGTTGGCCATCACATTCTAGACTCTAGACGCCCACCCGTTCTCGATGGTCCAAACAAGACTTCAAACAAGTTCATTGACACGAATCCATTCTCATCATCTTTCTCATACTCATACTCATTCTCAATCACGTTCACTTTACTCATTCACTTTCCTTTTCACGTTTACTTCCACTTTAACTTTCACTTTAACTCATTCATTGACTCTTAGACGCTTTCTTGCATTCTAGATGCCACCCATTCTCGGTGTCTCACACAATACACTTCACATAGTATCAATATCAATAGCATCACATTATCATACATCCACCTATCTCATATCACCTGTACATCTACCACTTAATTATCAATTGATATCCCTTACATTCATGAGTTATCATATCATTCACTTTTCTCTAGCAACCTAGTTTCCATTTACAATCAACATATGGGACATCAACCAATCACACAAACATTCATAGCAATCATTATCCACATCAACACAAGGCAGTCCATTAACTCCCATTTAACAGTGCGAGGGTTCTTATGCATGATGATTCAATCATCTAACAACCTAACTTCCATTATGATCTATCATCCTAACTTTCAAACAAGAGCTAACCAAACCCTAGTTCCACCATCAGCTAAAATAGAGAATATGAAAACAGATCTAGGTCGAATCACCTCACCTTAGCAATAGATCTGAGATCTGGATCTGAAGAACGAGATCTGGATCTAGAACAAGAAAAAAAATAGGACGAGATCAGTCTTCACCACCACACGGCTACCACCACCACCACTCGGATGAACACCACCACCACACCACCGGTGGATTGGCTTACTCTCATGGCGACTCGCGACAAGGAGAGAAGAAGAGGTCCGACGGGACAAAGGAGAGAGAGGAAGAAGAAGAGGAGGGGGAAAGAGATGGCGGCGCAGGAGAAGGAGAGGCTTGGCGGCTAGGGCTTCTGGTCTCCGTGAATTCTCTGCATGGCTTCGCTTTAGTTTTGGTGATTACGGCAAAAGGAGGAGGAGGCAACTCCTTATATAGAGAATGAAGAAACCCTAGGGTTTTATGGGCAAGTGGATTGTAGAGAGACCCATTAGTCTTCCAAAAATTTTGGACCCGGTATCGGATTGTTACAGACGATCTCTGAGAACTATTTTATTTTTGGCAGTGAAACTGTGAGCTATTTTCTTCGCATGCACATTATTTTCAAAGAGATTGGTGGCATGAAAAAAATATTCCAGTGTATAAATTGTTGCATAATATAACTACATAATGCAAATTTAAACGTTTGACTTGTGACCATGATTAAAGTTGCAGTTAATTCAAACCTAGTGTTTCAATCCGTGACGATGTATTAGACCATTGGCTAATTACAAGTTATGTAGTTGGTAGGGTTAATGGGATTTTTTGATCTGTAGTTTAATTTTAATCAATAATCGTGGATAATTACTGATGCAACACCAAAACACTGTATCCAATATCGCTAACAAACAGAGAGACCACCAAGTAGGCTACTAGGAATTGTTACATTAATCCGGACAAATAGAAAAAGTTGATGAGAGTTTAGACTTATCGTCTTTGGGTCAATGAGTCGAGCCCACACTACACTTAAAAATATATGAATGTCTATAGAATATTTGTAGCTGCCAATAGAACAGATGATACATAATATACTGCTTGTTTTTCTTGTTACTTTGTTATCATTCATGCTATTATTTTTTGTAACTGTCATTCATGCTATTTGGTATGTAATGTATATGCATTATTATAAATTCTCAAGCTGGCGAGTAATGTTTTATATAACTATTTTTGTAATTTATCGCATGTAGAATTGTTGAAAATTTGGAGCATACAGAAACAACTAAACATTCACAGAGCAAACGCTAGAAAGACAAACAAAACAGAATATTGGCGCAGATTACAAATTATTGCTCTTTTCAAAAACAACAGTACGTGTAAGTTTTCCAGTATAATTATTTATTTTTAAAACCAAAAAAAAAAAAGAGTGGCCAAGCTTACCATTATAAAAAGGCCAGGACCGACCCAAAACAAGAATACATGAGGTTGCATTATCAAGAAAGAGGCAAGAAAAGAAACGTAACACACAGAATACTCACATACATTTAACTTAATGGAGGAGGTGCACAAGGTGGTTGCTCCACCGCATAGAAGCACGGCGGCGAAGCTGAAGACAAGATTGAAGGAGACTTTCTTCCCTGACGATCCTTTAAGACAGTTCAGAGGACAACCGAACCGTACCAAACTCATACGAGCCGCTCAATACATTTTCCCAATCCTCCAGTGGTGTCCTGAGTACAGCTTCAGACTCCTCAAATCTGACGTCGTTTCGGGTCTCACCATCGCCAGTTTAGCTATTCCTCAGGTACGTAACATTTTTTCCGGTAAGAAAGTTTGCATAATCCAACGATGAACCATGTCAATTTCCATTAACAATTATGATCCTATCCTTTAATCAAATTCTTGATATTCTTCTGCAAACTTAAACAGGGGATAAGTTACGCGAAGCTAGCAAATTTACCTCCAATTGTCGGTCTATGTAAGAATCTAATGAGTTATAGTAGTAACTAGTAAAACTAATGTAAATATACTCACGTGTGTGTATGTTGAATCATGTATGTAGACTCGAGCTTTGTGCCACCGTTGGTTTATGCGGTGTTGGGAAGCTCAAGAGATCTAGCGGTAGGACCAGTCTCCATAGCTTCGTTGATCTTAGGGTCCATGCTAAGGCAACAAGTATCTCCCGTAGAGAATCCTATTCTCTTTTTACAGCTCGCTTTCACTTCTACCTTCTTTGCTGGTCTCTTTCAAGCCTCTCTTGGAATCCTCAGGTTGTAAATCTATACTATGTATTATTATTGTATACATACGTATCTATTTTCTCCTGAAAGTTTTTTAGCATTGCGTGAACCACATGTTCTGTTGTATACTTCTGAGGTCAATATACTGGGCCTGGGCTAGGGTTTACTATTAATCTGTAGGATGTTTGTTACAAAAGAAATTAATCTACACTTATATATTTCACTCACATCATATTTAAACAACTTCTTATTTCGTAAGAATATACTTAACATAAATTCCATTACAAAAATATATAGATTTACTCATTTAAATTAAATAGTAAAACAATTTATATTATATATATTTGAAATATTAATAAAATAGTGCACGATTTCATATCTTTATTTTTTTGCTAAAATTAATGATTATTCTATAATTGCTCGGGTATATATTCCCTCTATTCTGTAGTGTATTAGATTAGTACGTGGAGATTGAAAGACTAAAGATAATCACTATTTTGTATCTATTTTACATTATCTTTAACTTTAAACAATCTAACCAATCAAAAGTGTCAAATGTAAATACACACAACAAGCAAATAAAATTAAACAAAAGAATTTTTAAAAGCATATTTTATAAAATAGAATTAAGTGGATATATGCATGCTTTAATATAATTTATGTGTTGGACGCATGTCAATATATAAGACAACTACTATTAATTTTACGACATTCCTTTGTTGGAATTAGTGATGGATGGAGTAACTAATTTTATTTTCAAATATGTAGGCTTGGATTTATAATCGACTTTCTATCAAAGGCAACTCTAATAGGGTTTATGGCGGGAGCAGCCATAATAGTATCACTGCAACAGCTAAAGGCTCTGCTTGGGATAACTCATTTCACTAAGCAAATGAGTGTAATCCCTGTTCTCTCCTCTGTTTTCCACCACACCAACGAGGTTCCTCTTTTTACTTATTCACAATTATCATAAGAGATGATTCCTTAGAAATGTATGATATTCAATGGTACTACTGTGCAGTGGTCATGGCAAACGATTGTGATGGGAGTCTGCTTCTTGCTGTTCTTGCTCGCCACACGTCACCTCGTATGTTTTCCAAATTTCTCACTATTCATTACATCTTAATCCTCCCTCAATGTGCATGTGGAACATTTGTGACGCTCCATTTTAACAATGAATCGCCATAAATAAAGAACTTAATTAATAATTTAATTTATCTCACTGCAAATTAAGATAACTTATGTTTAATCATTTAAAAGGTAAACACAATAACATTTTTTGCATTCAAAGTTGCTTACAAAATTACAAACGAAAAAACTGCATTCAACCACAACACTAGGATTTCTTTTTCTAAAAAGCATTAACTATGTTAAATATAAATGAAACATACAAATATAACTAATCTAAAAATAATAGTAATGATAAAGAAAATGATAAATGGAATGCAGAGCATGAAGAAGCCAAAGCTCTTCTGGGTCTCAGCTGGAGCTCCGCTTCTTTCAGTCATCGTCTCCACGCTTATAGTCTTTGTCTCCAGAGCCGATCGTCATGGCATCAGCGTCGTAAGCTTTCCCTCATACATCACACATAACCAATCCTCTGTTTCTTTTTTTTTGGCATGGTTTAAGAATCTTTTAACTTGGTGGACGTACAGATTGGGAAACTACAAGAAGGTTTGAATCCACCGTCTTGGAACATGCTTCAGTTTCACGGAAGTCATCTCGGACTCGTTGCCAAAACAGGACTCATCACCGGAATCGTCTCCCTCACCGTACGTAACGTTTCTTTCAACTCAGTTTAACCTAACATGTTCTTGTTTACTTAAGTTTGTGTTTAACTCGGTCTTGTTTTGTGCCCTTGTCATCAATCAGGAAGGCATCGCAGTAGGAAGAACATTCGCAGCGGTGAAGAACTACCACGTAGACGGAAACAAAGAGATGATCGCCATAGGTCTTATGAACGTAGTCGGCTCAGCCACTTCATGCTACGTCACAACCGGAGCTTTCTCTAGATCAGCGGTTAACAACAACGCCGGGTGTAAAACAGCGGTTTCAAACATTGTGATGTCGGTCACCGTTATGGTTACGCTCCTCTTCTTAATGCCTCTTTTCGAATACACTCCCAACGTGGTCCTAGGTGCTATCATTGTGACAGCGGTCATCGGTCTCATCGACCTTCCCGCGGCTCGTCATATATGGAGGATTGATAAGTTTGATTTCTTGGTGATGTTATGTGCATTCTTTGGTGTTGTTTTCCTATCGGTCCAAAATGGTTTAGCTATTGCGGTGGGACTATCGTTGTTCAAGTTATTGATGCAAGTAACGAGGCCGAAGATGGTTATTATGGGAAATCTTCCGGGGACTGATGTGTACCGGAATCTTCATCATTACAAAGAAGCACAGCGGATTCCAGGGTTCCTTGTCCTAAGCATTGAATCTCCTGTCAACTTTGCCAATTCTAATTACCTCACCGAAAGGTTAGTTATATTAAATCATTAAGCGGTATATTTGATTAGTACTTAGGCAAGCGTCAAAAAAGAAAAATTTTGTTTTTCATCAAAATTGCTGTCTAGTTGTATTTGGACATAATCTTGTGCTTTGTAGTCTTAGATGACACGTTGAGCTACCATTATGGTTTACATAACCCACATTTCTTGATAGTATTTGTATCTTCTGACCTGGAATGCATAAAAAATATTGCAGGACATCTCGTTGGATCGAAGAATGCGAAGAGGAGGAAGCTCAGGAGAAGCATTCCAGCCTTCGGTTCTTGATTCTTGAAATGTCAGGTTAGTATTTATTAAAACGATCTCTTTTTAACCACATAGTCTTATCCAAATGTTTTTTAAATTGATTTTAGTAGCTAACTATTTGATTCCTATATATATTTTAAAGCCGTGAGTGGGGTGGACACAAACGGAGTCTCATTCTTTAAGGAATTAAAGAAAACAACGGCAAAGAAGAACATCGGGGTAAAGTTGTTTCGCAAACTAGTTTTAGTCTTGTGACCATGAAATGTAATTAGTTTTCTTTTTATCTAAACCGGATATTTGTGCAGCTTGTGTTTGTGAACCCATTAAGCGAAGTGATGGAGAAGCTACAAAGAGCTGACGAAGAAGAAGAGTTCATGAGGTCTGAGTTTCTCTTCTTGACTGTTTCTGAGGCCGTTGCGTCGCTCTCTCTTAAAGGCTCATCTCTTAATAACGTTTGACTATTACTTTTTTGTCGGTCCAAAATGTGATATTTGGACGATGGTTAAAGTTCCTTTTTAATCTTTTCATCCTTTATTTCAGTACAGTTGTAATGCTATGTTGTTCCTTTCTCCATTATTGATTTTGGTGGAAGAATCTCAAGATATATGTTTTTAGTATGAGCTTTTGCTATTGGAGTTTAGCAGGTGTCGAGTCTGGTGACATCGAGGATTATTAAGCCATCAGACTAATCAACTCTCTCGTATCTTGTTGACTTCCACAATATTGCGACTTTCAACTAAAACAATTCCAAGAAAAAGTAAAAGACAACACCTTATACTTCGGAGTCTGCATGAATCTATTAGGTAATTAGGTTTGAAGATTAAGTTACATTCCGAGTCTTTAGGATTAAGCTAAAATAAGTTAGTTAAGATAAATATAAATCTGCTGATTAATAGAGATAAGTTTACTTAATAGGAATAAGTTTGATTTTCCTTTTATTTCGATCATAAGTTCTTATATAAGACCATCGTTGTATTACTCTGTTTCTTAACACAGAGCTTTTGATTTAAGTTTAATAAAGGCAGTATTCAGAAAGATTGTTCTCTCTCGATCCATCTCTAACAAGTGGTATCAGAACACACAATCCAAACCTGTGGTGAGAAGAAAAGATGAGTGAAAAAGAGTTAAGAATACCAAAGTTCGACGGAGACTACGAGCATTGGGCTATGCTCATGGAAAATCTGTTGAGGTCCATGGTGTGGTGGGAGCTTGTAGAAACAAGCATGGTGAAGTTCGACAGAGACACCGTCTTGACCGAAGCACAACAGACGGAGCTATCTGAACAGAAGCTCAAAGATCTGAAGGTGAAGAATTATCTCTTTGCGTCTATTGACAAGACGATACTGAAGACGATTGTGAAGAAGGAGACGGCTAAAGACATATGGGACTGTATGAAGAACAAGTATCAGGGGAACAAGAGAGTTCAAAGTTCCCAACTTCAGAGGTTGAGAAGAAACTTTGAAGTATTGGAGATGAAAGATGGAGATTCTATTACCGAGTACTTCTCAAGAGTCATGATGGTGTCAAACGACATGAAAAACCTAGGGGAGGACATACCTGATGCCAAGGTGGTTGAAAAGATACTTCGTACTTTAGTAGAGAAGTACATGTATGTGGTGTGTGCCATTGAAGAGCCGAAGGACATCACTGAAATGACTGTGGATGAGCTGCAAAGCTCACTGCTCGTACACGAGCAAAACCTGAGCAAGCATTCGAGTGAAGAACAAGTGCTCAAGATGGAAGGAGGAAGAGGTCGTGGTGGATACTCTCAAGGAAGGAACTCATACTGTGGTGGTAGAGGAGGAAGAGGCAGAGGTAGCACCAGTTTCAACAAGGACAACATCGAATGCTATAAATGTCACAAGATGGGTCACTTCAGAAATGAATGTCCCACATGGGAAAGGAGTGCAAACTATGCAGAGTTGGAGGAGGATCTACTTCTAATGGCGCAAAGTGATGTAATGAAACCAGAAGAAAAACACATTTGGTATCTTGACTCTGGATGTAGTAATCATATGTGCGGCGTGAAGGAGTGGTTCATGGACTTTGATGGAAGCTATCAACATCAAGTCAAACTTGGAGATGACAGGAAGATGCTAGTTGAGGGAAGAGGGAACTTGAGACTAGAGATTGACGGCATCTTCCAAGTCATAACCTCGGTATACTATGTACCAGGGCTCAAGAACAACCTGATGAGTGTTGGTCAGCTGCAGCAAAAGGGATTAAGAATTGTGATCGAGGATGATGTGTGTGAAGTGTGGCACAAGCAACAGAGGAGGATGATCATGAAGTCGACGATGTCCAGGAACATAATGTTCATAATACATGCGAAAGAAGCAAGAGATGGCGTTGGAGAAGCACAAAATCTGATGACGGTAGTTGGAGATGCAGAGGAGATTTGGCACTGCAGATTAGGACATCTCAGCCACGACAATCTGACAACAATGGCGGACAAAGATATGGTGTTGGGCTTACCAAAGATTATGAGCAAAGGAAAAATCTGTGAGGTGTGTATGAAAGGGAAACAGATTCGATCAAACATTCCCAAGCAGAGCAAGTGGAGATGTCTGGAGCTGGTTCACACTGACATTTGCGGTCCTATAGCACCTACCTCAGCAAGTGGAAAGAGATATATAATCAACTTTATAGATGATTACAGTCGAAAGTGTTGGACGTCGTTCATAACAGAAAAATCAGAGGCCTTTAAAGCATTCAAGGAGTTCAGAATAACAGCTGAAAGAGAAAGTGGCGAACTGCTGGTTTGTCTTAGGTCTGACAAAGGTGGTGAGTACAACTCAAAGATGTTCCAGCAATACTGTATAGACAATGGGATCAAGCGACATCTTACAACTGCGTACACACCCCAACAGAACGGAGTGGCCGAGAGGAAGAATAGAAGCTTAATGAACATGGTGCGATGCATGTTATTTGGCATGAAAGTACCTATCAGATTTTGGACTGAAGCAACACAGTATGCAGTACACATACTAAACCGGAGCCCCACGGTCATACTAGGAAACATCACACCGTCTGAGAAGTGGAGCGGTATGAAGCCATCCGTGGATCATTTACGCGTCTTTGGATGTGTTGCATATGCACACATTCCATATGAAAGACGCGTTAAGCTAGATGAGAAGAGCATCTAGTGTGTCATGTTTGGCGTTAGTAGAGAATCGAAGGGATACCGCTTATATGAACCTAAGGAGAAGAAGATTCTGATAAGCAAAGATGTAAGATTTGATGAGGGAGAACGATGGGACTGGGAAGAGAACGAAGAAGAGGAACAACTCGTCGATGAAGGGGATGAAACAACTCCAACAGAGACAGTAGAAGGAAACAATGGAGGAGAAAATGAGAACGAAGCTGAGGAATAAGAAGGTAATTCACCAACACCACTAGTGCCACCTCAAGATGAGAACGAAGACAATAATCCAGTGCAAGAAGAAGCAGAAGGGTCTGAGAGAACAAGAGCAGGTAGAAGCAAGACAAGACCTGTATGGATGAGAGACTATGAGATGGGTCTTTTCATGGAGGAAGAAGAAGACTTGATGGTATTAGTAGAGGAAGACCTCCTAGGGATAAGAGACATAGAGCGGTAAAGCACTGTTTCGGTGCGGGAGATCCGGAGAAATTTGAAGAAGCTGTGCATCACGAGAAATGGAAGCTGGCGATGGAAGCTGAGATGAACTCTATAGAAGAAAATAACACTTGGGAGCTAGTGGAGTTGCCAGAAGGTTCAAAGGTAACTGGACTTAAATGGATATTTAAGACCAAACTGAATGAAAAGGGAGAAGTTGACACACATAAAGCAAGATTGGTGGCCAAGGGATTTCATCAAACTCAAGGTGTTGACTTCCATGAAGTGTTCGCCCTGGTTGCTAGATGGGATACGATCCGAATGCTGCTTAGTATTGCAGCTCAGAGAGGTTGGTGTGTACATCAGCTAGATGTAAAGAGTGCACTCCTACACGGTGAGCTCAAGGAAGATGTGTACGTTGAGCAACCTAAAGGTTTCGTAGTCAAGAATGAAGAAACAAAGGTGTATAAGCTGAGCAAGGCTCTGTATGGGCTAAGACAAGCTCCGAGGGCGTGGTACAGCAAGATCGAAGGATACTTTGAGAAGGAAGGGTTCAAGAAATGTTTCTGTGAACACACTCTATTTGTGAAGGCTGAAGGAGACAACATTTTAATTGTAAGTGTGTATGTGGACGACGTGATTTACACAAGCAGTTCAATGATCATGCAAGAAGAGTTCAAGGAATCAATGAAGAAGGAGTTTGCAATGTCTGATCTAGGTAAGATGAAGTACTTTCTTGGCGTTGAAGTAACACAAGACTAGAAAGGAATTTTCATCAGTCAAAAAAAGTATGCAAGCGAAGTGATGAAGAGGTTCGGCATGGAGCATTGCAACTCAGTCAGGAATCCAACAGTACAAGGCTGCAAGCTTACTAAAGAAGGAGCAGGTTCACAAGTCGATGCAACGCAGTACAAGCAGATTGTTGGGAGTCTGAGATACCTTACTGCTACGCGACCTGACCTCATCTATTCCGTCAATCTTGTAAGCAGGTATATGGAGAAACCAACCGAGCAACATCTCCTAGCTGTGAAGAGAATTCTGTGGTATGTTCAAGGAACAATGGAGTATGGGATACAGTATCAGTGCGGCTACAAGGAGAAACTGATGGGCTTTGTTGATAGTGATTACGCTGGAGATGAAGATGATAGAAAGAGCACTTCAGGTTATGTTTTTATGAACGGAAGTGGAGCAATCTCGTGGGCATCAAGGAAGCAACCTATAGTTACTTTATCAACAACTGAAGGTGAGTATGTTTCAGCTGCTTCAGGTGCATGTCAAGCCGTATGGTTGAGAAATGTGTTGGAGGAGATTGGGTGCAAGCAAGAGGAGAAGACAGTCCTGTTTTGTGACAACAGTTCTACTATCAAGTTGTCTAAAAATCCTATCTTTCATGGGAGAAGTAAACATATTCAAGTAAGGTTTCACTTCCTGCGTGAGTTAGTGAGTGATGAGATGATTGAGTTGTAGTACTGCTCTACGCAAGATCAGTTGGCAGACATAATGACCAAGGCTGTGAAGTTAGATGTATTCGAGAAGCTGAGAGGATACATGGGATTTGAAGTGAAGAGTAGTTAAATTGGAAGACAAGAGTGTTTCCAGTTTAGGGGAGGAATTGAAGATTAAGTTACATTCTGAGTCTTTAGGATTAAGCTAAAATAAGTTAGTTAAGATAAATATGAATCTGTTGATTAATAGAGATAAGTTTACTTAGTAGGGATAAGTTTGGTTTTCCTTTTATTTCGATCATAAGGTCTTATATAAAACCATCGTTGTATTACTCTGTTTCTTAACTCAGAGCTTTTGATTTAAGTTTAATAAAGGCAGTATTCAGAAAGATTGTTCTCTCTCGATCCATCTCTAACAGGGTTTCATATCGAATGTGAAACCACATTATTTTTGAAGCAAAATAACTCTAAAATTGAAAGCTTTGTGAAACAAATATTTTTCAAGTATGTATACACAATTCAATTTCTCCATTGCCATGACATAGTTTTGATTTGATTTGATTTAATCCTATTATATCCTTTTTTCCTTGCACTAGGTTCCACAAAATAAAAGAGAATAACTTATTTGTTAATTAATCCTTTTCATTCGTTAAAATCCATCGTTAATGTCCACTACGAAGTCACCAACGAAAAGTGACGTTGTTGACAAGGGTTCATGCTTATCCTAATTCAAGGATCGCGACTAATATTGATATGTATCATGTAACTTTTAAAATTGCGTATTCGTATTCCCGTGATAGTAAAGGAAATACTAACGAATAGTCTGGGCAGCCTCTTAAGCCAACCTTTTTTTTTCTGCTTTAGTCCTCTGGAGTATATTGCAATATATTTTTTTATAAACATATGAAAACTTTCCACAATAGTTGCTTACTTAGTAATTAACTTGATTACCAAATATTACAGAGAACTCCAACAACCACAATATTTGACATGGCTACGATCCTTACCGTCAATTTTCCTGAAACCGCCACGAGAGGAGACGATGACGTTTGATCCGTCTGGTGAGGAGGTTTTCTAAAGTAGTAGGGGAAGTAAGGCAAAATAGCATCCGGGGGTGGAGGACCATATATACTGCTACTAGCGCCTCCACCGACGTAAGGTGGCGAAGGGTAATTTGGTAAATTTCCAGCTGGATAAGGGTAGTTAAAGGTTGGAGGTGGTAAATTTCCAATGGGTGGCGGATAACACGGGTACGGACAAGGCGTTTCGGATATACCTAAGTAGGGGAAGTAAAGAAGAGAAAATATGAAGACTAAGCTCAAGAGGAGAAGGCCATGATTGTTTGTGTTCATGTTTTTTTAACCTTTCTGGATGAGAGTGGTTCTATTTCAATCTAAATGGTAAACACAGACTTTCGGGTAAGAGAAACCGCAAGAAAGTAAAGATAAGTTTTGGGAAAAAGCTTAGTTGGAAGGTCTGGAGTCTAGTTATGTGACACTTGTTATGTGACTTATTGCGACCAATGGTTGCTAGCTATACGTCCTCTTTGATCATGTTAACTTTAAAGATCGTGAATCTCTGTTAAGATAAAATTGTGTATTTTCATGATAAATAGTATATTAGTTTTGAAAATTTATTCTTTGTACAATTATTTGTTTCAAAAATGGGAAATTGGATTGTATGGCTACAAAAAAAAAACATATTTCATTCAATAGCCAAAAACCCTATAATACATAGATACATCGTGCATATTACGTATAATTTCATGTATGTCGGTACAACCTGCTAGTAAAAAGAAAGAAAAAATTATTACGTAAGGTTGGAAAAGTTACGCGGAAGCATCGGAGATTCACATCTTTCACACAATAACTTCTTTCTCTGTGTAAGTTTTGGAGAAGGTGAAAAATTTTAAGCTGCGACTTCTGCAACCGTGATATCAGAGCAGAGATCCGGTGTTTTTTGGCTTTCCGGAAAATTTGATATCCCATATTCTGTTTTCTTTTGGCTTATCGTGTCTGATTCCCCTAGCAACAGCATCGAAACACACAACGAAGTGAATCGTAGAGTTACGGCGAATATTTTCCAAACATACTTACCTACTCTTTAAGCTGAACTCCATTCCCTTATCATTCCTCGACGAGGAGGATTGACAAGCCATATCGCATCACCAGTTTCATAAATTTCTATTCCACCTGGTGCAGATGGAATAGATCGTTTGCGGAGTTTTCCTATACTATTACACTTGAGTGGAATAGATCATTTGCGGATTCCGCTTTTGATGTTAAAAATTTAATATTACTATTGAATAGATCGTTTTCCATTTTATTTTAAATAGTATAGAATAATAGTTCAAAATTTATATATTACTATTGTATTGCACTTTCAAAATATTATAACTGGAATTAAATTTAATATTTTGGTTTGGGTTAATAAATTCAGATTTAGGGTTTAGTAATAAAGATTTAGGTTTGGGTTTATAAAGGTATTATATTTGTTTTTATCAAATATAGTACTTTTATAAATGGAATAGAACATTTATATAGGATACTTAACATATATGTGGTAATAAAACATGTGACGTGGATGTATTTGCTTGATTCATTAGTTAAGTCATCGATGTCATCTTTCTTTTTGTTTTGACCGGTAATTTATTTTTCATGAGGGTATAACCGGTTTAGAAGAAGGCTAAATGTTATTCACCCAATAACGTCAAAATCATAGTCATCCACTTAATTATACTCTCAAATTTGGCTATCTCGCAAATTCACCCTTCAAAAATTGTGTATTATTTAGTGTAAATAGTCGGTATTTCCATTGTAAAAAGAAAATTAGTTTTTAAAAATAATTAAGATATCTTTCTATGATAAATGTATTTTTGAAATAATGTGTCTATTCAAAATATATTTTATTAATAATAAAAATCTTAATTAATATTAAAAGTTGTGTCCTTTCATTTTAATGTCAAAATTTTATTTGTCTTTATAAAGATGATCAATTTTAGAAATTTTCAAATTAATAAAAGGATGTGTGTTTATATAATATGTATATTTGTATAGGAGATGAAATTAATTTGATATACTTATGCGTTTTTTCAACTTGCATCTATTAAAAAATATTGTGAATATTTAAACATTTATACAGTTTTTAAAATGAAAAACATATTTTTAGACAAATGATCACTTTAAAGATTTTATAAAAGAATGATAAAATACATATTTTTATACTTTTATACAGTTGTTTAAAATTCAATATAATTTGTAACATAAAATGACATATTTTTATGAAAAATAACTTTTTATGTATGTTAAAAATCTATTTAAAACAAATGAAAGGCATACCATTTCACATGGACTATATTCAGTATGTAAAAGCTGCATCTAATGGCTACGAACATTTTTTTTTCTTTGAAAAAGGGCTATCAGTTTGAAAACATAAAATATTACAAAAATAGAACAAGAGTCTTATATTAACATGAAAACAAGTTTCATGATTGAGTGAATCCCAACCCCTGAACAACAAAAGTTAAGACAAGAATAACCAACAATACAATAAAACTCAATAGGCAGTGATAAGAACCACGCCGGCCACGCTTCCCTTTCCTTCACATCGTCTTCTATTCCATTTTTTAATATTTAATTGGGGGGGGGGGTTGTCTCCCTCTCACCTCTTGTCAAGTTGATCGAGGAAGAAACCTCTGTCAAAACTTCATCCACATCTCCTGACCCTTTGAACTGAAAAGAACTCTTAAATCCAAAAATAATAGGTGTTGTGGTTAATGGATCAACGGCTAAAGTCTCACGTACCTCAGTGTTAAAAACAGTTGATGGAGAGGACTCCATAATAAGTGCTGCAATGGTAGTAGATTGGGAATGTACTAATATGGAAAAAAAGTTGGGACAAAGTTTGGCAAGGCAGTAGTGTTCTCCGGCTGGAAAGATAGATTGCATAGCTGGAGTGATTTCAAGTTCAGAGAGGAGACCTTCTATCTCTCTAATATTTTCCTAAGGCTCAAGGGCACCATCATCTAATGCTGCTGGAGAGTTTGTTTCATTGACATGAAGATCTTCTTGATGGATACTGGGTGGAGAAAAGCCAACATTATCTTTTTTCTTATGGTATCAATATCCATTAGAGGGATAACATAGCTAGTATCTATAGAAGGTGATGTGGAGGTAAAAACCGGAGCAGTCGATGAAGGTGAAAGACACCTCTTCGCTTTATGTCCTCGATTACCACCCCTCTCACACGTTGATGGAATCCATGTATACTCAACATTAGCAAGAAAAATGTTACCTTGTTTATCATCCAGAGCAATAAGCTTCGGAAAATTTCTATCCAACTCCATCTCAACTAAAACCTTTGCTTTGCCCAAACTGGTAGGATCAAGACGCGATTTGTGCGTAAGAATGGGTTCCTCAAGTCCTGAAGTAACATGACTTATTCCTAATCTTGAGTAGCAACAATCCGGGATGTTCTTCAAAGTGGCCCAGACTGGAAGTGTGGAGATTTTAGGGACTTTGAAGAATTCTTCTGGAGTCCATGGCAATACAAAAAGTAAGCAATCATCAATGTGTCATAATCCTCGCTGAATGCTCCAATAACGAGTAGGTTGGTGCGGGGATATGGAACATAAAAGATGAATCACCAAACTTCTTACAACTGATCTCACAGCTTTTTCCCAAATTTTATTTGCCACAACATGTATTAAACCACCTGGCGGTAGATAACACTGGTGGAACTTTCCAATGATGTACTCGTCTTTATTCTCTGGACCTAACCTAAGAACTTTCGAAGGAATAGATACCTCAAGTGTGCCATCAAGCCGGTAAATTAGTGTGGCTGCTCGGTAAATGTGACATACAAACTTAAAATATTCTATATTCATGTATCTTATTATTTCATTTCACATACAAATTATAAACTATAAATGTTTTGTTAAAACATATAAAGTTATTTTCAAATATATGTTAAATAATTTGATGATTAATATTATTCAGACACACACACACACACACACACACACACACACATATATATATATATATATATGAACTATAAGAATACAAAAAATAAATTTTGATTTTAATATTTTCCTCAAAATAAACATAAAAGAAAATTATCTGATGTAAAACAACCGTAGATATATTTTTATCTATTTTATTAAAGCAGAAGTGAGTTTTATTCGACACAAAATATTTTGTTCGAAAAAATAGATTTATTAACGTACATAAGTTAACTGATTGGTGTTTTAATTTACAAACAAATACACCAAAAATGGTTAATGCAATTAAAAATTACTAATTAACGAATATGTTATATAACATATCATTTTAATTGGTTTAGTATCCAATCACAACATGAGCAGCTAAAAATTACAGAAAATTTAAAACCGTCGATTTTTCACAAATCAAATACAAACATCCATGATATATGTCTGTACAACCATTATAGTTTTGTGTTGTTAAGAATTCTATATATTTATTATTATATTAAAATTAAATAAACACTTGTGCATCCGCACGTATCAAACTCTAGTAGAGTTGAAGTATCAAATACAATTTTAAAATATCTTATTCTTATTACTTCTGAGGTAATTAAGTCGGATAGATATTAACCTTAAAATAATCATCAAACTGTCAATGACATTAAAAGTCCATGCTCTGTTTTGGGATGACACTTTTTTTTTTTTTTGGTAAAATGTTAAATTTATTATACCAAGCTTTTTGTTTTTTACAGAAACATGAAGTTAAGTAGTAGCGGAGAAGCAGAAATTAAACCTAAACAGAGCATCTAACAAGAAAAATGCAGAATCTATTACAAAGAAGAGAGGGTCTCGAGATGAACCGGAGGTAGCGTAACGTTGATGGTCCAAAAAGAGGTATGAGCGGACTAAGCATTCAGTTGCCGCGAGTTCCCGGAGAGAAAGGCACCCTCAAACCTTGATGCACCAGGGAAAGACCTACAGCTTCCTAGAGACCTAATCATCAACACCATCGTAGAGAAACACATCACGGAGCCGCAAGCCCGTTCAAAATTGCCCACCGGCAGCACGAGAAGGAGTCCACTGATAGGCGGTGCCGTCGTTCAGGACCGTGAAATGAAGATTGCTGCCTCCAACCACTCAATCCCGTGACCGTATACACACATTTAACTCAACACACATATAGAACAATGAGACACATCGGGCACACCTCCTCCGGAAAGAACAACCTTCAAACTAGCCTGAAGACCGAGTGCTAAACTAATTCCTATCCATACTCACAAGACCCGGCCGCTTTCATAGAACTACATCTCCAACAAGATGACGCCTTATTGAGGGAAAGAGAGATACCTACACGTTGCCACAATCAAGAGCCTGGCCTCAGGAGACAGAGACACCAATAAGACGCGGATGCAGCCTTGTGACTCGTCACGTGCTGCCACATGAACCTCCCTAGCTCAGGCGACAACACCGAGATAAGAAACTCCCCACACGTACCCACGATTGAGAACCAAAACCGGGATCTACCTGACAGAAGGCGGATCTGGACGGATCCAAAATACTGAGGCTAAACCCAGCCAAGAAACACAAACCTCAAAGGAAAAGA